CTGAGAAGAGCAAAGAATGGACTCCAAATCTATCAAATGCAAACACACTTGTGGAGATTCTCTAACAAAAATATCACAACTGTCACTATGTAGCAAGTGTAATGACCAGGACTGGATGACAGAAATTCTACCAGCCTTGCCCCCAGGAACCAGACAACTCCACCACTTTCTGAATGAGGACCTTCCCCAGGAAGACTTGAAGCCTCACATGGTTCACCTCTGGTTCCAAGTCTTAAGCAAGTTCATCTAATTATAGGGACCTAGGTTCCCTGCTACTATACTGGCTGAAAACAAACCTCAGGGCGAAATTTTTCTCGATTCTACCTTGAGAAGGCAGGAGTCAAAATGTGAAAAATAATTAAGATATACGGAAGAGATACTGGACAGCTGCAAGCGATATATGTCAACTACGGAGATAAAATTAGCACAAAGAATATACGCTAACGAAAAGGAGAAGGAAAAGGGAAGGTGTTTCCCACCCATTGCTACCCACCCACACTCTCCAGGAAAATGCCAAGACGGTGTTGTTGATTGTTACTGGAAATGTGATTACCTGCATGCGCGCTCAGTCACTTCAGTCATGTCCAACTCTTTTCAACCCTGTGGACTGTAGCCCACCAGGCTGCTCTGTCCATGGGGATTCTCCAGGCAAGAAGACTGGAGTGGGTTGCCATGACCTCCTCCAGGTGATCTTCCGGACCCAGGGCTCGAACCCACATCTCTCATGTCTTCTGCATTGGCAGGCTGGTTCTTCACCACTAGCACCACCTGAGTACCTTAGGGTTATAGCTATTCAAATCTGTTATCTCACTTAATCTCACAAAACCCCAGTGAAGTTAACCAGCTTGGGGTTATGGGCTCAGAGAGAACAGACAAGACAGTTTGCTGGAGCTTTCACTAAACAACTAGAAACACAGAAACATAAACCTCCCTGGGCACTTGTATCTGTGTCTCTTCAGAGGGTTCCCCATTACTTGTCTTGGTAGAAAACCTCAGCTTTTGTGGACTAAAAGTGGGTCCACCTTCATCTACAAGCACTCTAACGTCTTTCACATGGACTCCAGGCGCAGAGGTGTCTTTCTCTATCAAAATACATGTGCAGGTTTGTCTTCACATTTCCTTTCACCAAAGCCAGTCATAATTACCTAAAACAGCTGCAGCAGGTAAGTGCAGCAGGACCAGAGTAACAGGTGCAGTTGTCTTTTATCATTTCAAGTCCAAAGTTTCTTCCTGTTTGGCAGAAATCCCCAAATTACGTGATAATCTTGGTGATGGACAACATCTATGGAAGCCTAGGGAAGCTAGTTAACTCCCTTCCACCACCCAGCACCTGGGCAGTCACATGACCCAGCTTGTCCAGTAGGACTTCCCATCTTGAACACTCAATCCCACCCGGGTTCTCAAACACCTTGCCTTCTGTAGTCTCCATCATTTTTTTGAGCTTGGTTTTCAGTCTTTTAACTAGCCAGCACCCTTCTCAAAGATTCCTTTCCTGGGACTTCCCTGGCCATCCAGTGGTTAAGACTCCACACTTCCAGTGCAGGGAACATAGGTTCAATTCCTGGTCAGGGAACTAAGATCCCATATCCTCAGGGCACAGCAAAAAAAGTTAAAAATCCTCTGCCTTTCCCTTTTCTATACAGTGTTGGGTATGCAGAGACAATTTTACATCTTTAACATAATGCTAGCCACTAAATAAACCAAGGTTTTTGTTAGTCTGCCCAGCTTCATCAGGGCTAAAGGACAATTTTTGTTAGGCTTTCTGAAGGGCCTTATTATTTCAACAAACATCCATTGTTTGCACCTTTTGTACCAAACCCTCTTTGAAGATGAAGACTCAGGGTTGACTAGGCAACAATCACTTCTAGGAGTTTGCAATTAAAAGGAGTCCAGAGCTGTTTTAATGCTCTCCTCTGCTGGTGAAGAATCTGCCTGCAATGCAGGAGACCCGGGTTCGATTCCTGGGTCGGGAAGATCCGCTGAAGGTATCAGCTGCCCACTCCAATATTCTTGGGCTTCCCTGGTGGCTCAGCTGGGAAAGAATCCGCCTGCAATGTGGGAGACCTGGGTTTGATCTCTGGGTTGGGAAGACCCCCTGGAGAAGGGAATGGCTACCCACTCCAGTACTCTGGCTTCGAGAACTGCATGGACTATCCATGATGTCACAAAGAGTTGGACATGACTGAGCGACTTTCACTGTCACTTTGTGGCTCAGCAGTAAAGAATTCACCCCCAATTCAGGAGACTTTCAGGAGAAGAGGGTTCAATCCCTGGGTCAGGAAGTTCCTCTGGAGGAGAAAATGGCAACCCACTCCAGTATTTTTGCCTGAAGAATATCATGAATAGAGGAGCCTGGCTGGTTACAATCCATGGGGTCGCAAAGAGTCGGACACAACTGAGCAACTAAAACAAAGCAACAAAATGCCCACCACTATCTTTTCAGACACCTAGAAATCAGGTTAGAAATCACTGATCCAACCAAAACTACTGCTTTCACATTAAAAAAAAAAAAAAAAAAACCTAAGATCCAGAGAGATAAAGAGATTTCTCCAAAGTCATAACAGCAATTTCCCAGCACAGCTAGGAGCAGAACTCAACTTCCCTGAATCCCAGTCTTGAAGCTCTTTCCACTTCATCACCTCACCTGCAGGAGATTTAAACAGCAGACATCATCTGCCCTTTGGTTGGTTTTTGCCAAATGGTCAGCCACGAGATGCTGGCAGGCAGATGAGTGAATGCCCTGTTAAGCCCAGCTGGGGTCATCTGCAAAACGGAACACTACCTGAGGAGGGAAACAGTCTCTCGAGGCCCCAGGGAGACACCATGGAGGACAAGCTTGGAACTGGCGAGCCCAAAAGAGAAATGGGAACAGCATGGAGACATCCAAGCGTGCCAGTCTGCCTTTCCAGCACACCAGACCCAGGAGCATATGGCCCGTAATTAACCCACCGGGAGCCAGTTATTGAGCCACAAATGGAGAATTACGGCTTCAGGTGAGGATCAGCAGCAGGAAGCCAAGCCCTCAGAAGACCAAGAAAACCGCATTTTCATGCAAAAATCTTCAGCAGTCATAAACCAAAGGAGGCAGACAGGGGCCGAGGGATGATGGCAAAGTGCAAGGCTGCTGCTGCTGCTGCAGTGGATGCTGCATACATACTTCTGGAAGGTCTTTGAGACCCAGCGGAATCTCCCAGGCACTCCTTATGGGCCCTGGGAACCGCCCCAATTTACAGCAGGGCAGCAACCTGAACATCCCGTCAGGGACACAGTTGAGCTTGGGCTCCAATGACATGCTTTTTCTGGTTGGGAAGATCCACCTCGCACCTGAGAATTGGTAGAACAGAAAAAGAAAGTGAAGTTGCTCAGTCATGTCCAACTCTTTGGGACCCCACAGACTGTAGCCTACCAGGCTCCTCAGTCAATGGAATTTTCCAGGCAAGACTACTGGAGTAGGTTGCCATTTCCTTCTCCAGGGGATCTTTCTGACCCAGGGATTGAACCCAGGTCTCCCACATTGCAGGCAGATGCTTTACCGTTTGAGCCACTAGAGAATTGGTTGAAGTTCCTCTAAATAGGATTGCTTTGGACTCTTTGCCCACCATGCACCATTCCCTTCCAGACCACTTGGAGGCGGTGAAGCAGAGCAATCAGGAACACAGTCTGGTGGTTAAACGCCTGAGGCACCGCACCTGGCTGTGTAACCACAGGCTGATACTGCACTTCTGTGTAAAATGGGGAAAGTATTGCTTAGAAAATATAAGTTACTGCACTGAAAGCTCTTACAAGAGTATTTAGTACATCATACACATTCAATGGGCTTCCCAGGTGGCACTAGCGGTAAAGAATCTACCTGCCAATGCAGGAGACATGAGACCCAGGTTCAACCCCGGGGTCAGGAAAATCCCCTGGAGGAGGACATGGCAACCCACTCCTGTATTCTTGTCTGGAGAATCCCAGGGACAGAGGAGCCTGGAGGGCTACTGCCTGTGGGGCCACAAAAGAGTCCGACACGACTGAAGCAACTTAGCTTCACTCATTCAGTCAAGATTAGCAGTTCCTGTTCATAGTCACAGATCAGCGACTTCCCTGGTGGTTCAGTGGTTAAGACTCCACACTCCCATTCCTGGTCAGGGAACTAGATCTCACATGCCACAGCGAAGCGTTCATATGCCACTGCTAAAGATCCTGCATGCCAAAACAAAGACCTGGCCCAGCCAAACAAAATAAATAAATATTTAAAAAGCAAAAACAATTTTAACACATTTAAAAAAAAATAGAGGGGAGAAGAGTGTTCATACCATAAGAGGCAATCAACCAGGTCTGGCCCAGGGGCTGCAGTTTGCTGGACCCCAGTGTTGAGGGATGAACACTGAGCTTGTTATCACATAGCCACACCCCAGCCCTGCTTCCTCACCTGACCCTCCTGACGGTGGCAAGTTACTCACTGTCTCTGGGTTTGTTTCCTCCTTGCAAAAAAAAAAAAAAAAACTGGAAAAATAATAATGAGCTGCTTAGAGGATTGTTGTCAGTCTTCGCTGAGATACAGCATGAAGTGGCTTTGGACACAATATCCCAAGTAATGAATTCTAAGTTAAGATAGTGACTCTTCTCATGGAAGAAGAATCTGGCAGCTGGAAAGTATGAGATAGTCAGGGGAGAAATCAACTTTGGAATCGGAAAAGTCCTGGGTCCCACTCCTAACACCACTGCTTAGAGCTGTGTGACCTTGATAGCGTTCCTCAAGCTCTCTAGCTTCAGTCTCCTCGTCTATAAAACACAGATGATACCCGTGTTTCACAGGATTATTCAATGGTATAAAAAGTACTTGATATATAACAGGCCAAAAAAAAAAAAGATAGCAATGATTTATCCTAATGCCATCTTGATATTTTTTTCTATTTCAAATTTCTTTTTTTGGAGAAGAAACCAATGTTTTTCATCAAAAGCCTGCCTCCTCTCTGCCTCCAAAACATCTCTTTTGATCATTCCCCTGTGTTCCATCAACACAGCGGGCTCCTGCCTCCCCGGGGGAAAACTCGTTGCAGGAAACTGGGGCAGCCCTTTGAACTGGCATTTTTTCTCTGTGCTGAGAAAGAACATTGCTTGGCGTGCTGGGAGTTGCTTGCTTCCTCCCCTTCATCCTTGGACTCGCCCTTTCTGGGTCTGAGGCTGACAATGGACTGGTCCAGGGAGGGGCGCGCTCTGCCCAGGCCTGGGATTGCAGCTGCAGGGGCCCAGGGCCCTCTGCGCTCTGTGGGCCAGGATGAAGGTCTGTTCCCAGCCTGACATATCTCTGATCTGACATCAGCAGCCCTGACACAGACCAGGCTTCTCTTCTCTCTGAAAAACTTTTCGGGTGGAGGCCTGTTTACAGCTGGAAGTCTGGCCTGGCTGAAGGAGCCAAGACGGCTGAGCAGAGGGAAGGTGGAAGGCAGCCTCCTTCGGGCTGTCTGGTCCTCCTGCCTCTCGCAGGAGATGGATGTGCCGAGATTTGCAGCCCGGTGGTCAGAGCTAGGAGAGAAGCCAGAAAGGGGAGAAGCCAGGGTGAACGCGAGCCCAGAGAAGCCGGGGGGCCAGAAGGCTGGGTTTAGTCACTGAGTGTGATGAAGGAGGGCAGAGCCTGAAGTCAGGACAAAGTCAGAGTCAGACGCCTTCAGTTCTCTTGCGTCGACTGCTTTCCCTGGGCCAGACACTGTTATGTGCTACACTCTGGAGAGACAGCGGAGAATAAGATGAAACTCCTGTTCTCACTGGGTTTATATCTGGTGAGGATCCATAGCACTTGTGTGCCTACAGGGATATCTGAGCTCAGAGAAGCGACGCAACCCATTACAAGCCACACAGTACGCTGTGAGATGCAAACGCATGCCTCTCTGTCCACCTGGGAGTGTTCATTCCTCGCAGACGTCCAGAAAAAAGGGTGGTTTTCTCCGTCCTCTCTCAGAGCCATTGACAGAGCTTCTCACTCTCCCTCTTTAACCACTGGTTACTTAAAAATACCATTAATGGCAGTTAATCCAATTGCAACCGTAACCACTCATTAGCATCTAAAGAGCAAGTTTTAGATCATGGTTTTAATTAGATTTTGTGAGTTGCAAGCAACAGAAAGTAGCTCTAGCTAACCTGAGCCAAAAAGAATCTTATGGAAGGATGTAGGGTAGCTCCAACAACCAAAGGCAAAGCTGAACAGCCACGCTTCAAGAAAAGCAACAGTGAGAGTGGCCCTTAGGTGCTGGGTACCACCATCAGGAGAAACTGGCATCAGTCATTTCCTGTTCCTCGGTTCCTATTTCCACTTTGCATTGTGTATATTCTGCTTCCCATCACTTCACTCAGGACTCAGATTCTTGGGAGAGAAAATGTGACTGGCCAAGTCCCATGCCCATATCTTTGACACCCCCACTGACAGTTCACCACCTGGGGGAGGAACTTTCTCAAATGGGACTCGAGCTGCTGCTGAGAGGAGGAAGTAGAATGTCTGCAGGGCAGGAGCCTACAATCCCTTCTACAATCCCAGCTTCATTGGAGAAGCTGTGGGGTGGCAAAAAGAACAACGGACAGGAAGATGGACTCTTTGGTTCTAATCCTGGCTTTGCCTCTATGGGGTCCCTCTTCCTCTCCTAGGTCTGGCCTGCCATATGGGAGGCCTACTCTAACTGTGATAGTTCTTGATTCTAAAGACTTTGACTCCAGTTTTTCACTTGCATTTCAGATGGTTCACATAACAGTTCTATTCATGTGCTTGGAAACTTGCTGTACAGTGGACACCATGATCAATATTTTCATGTATGTGTTTTAATGCTCTTAATAACAATAGGTCAGCTAGGTAGCATTATTCCCATAGTGCTGAAGAGTATTTGAGACAGAGCGGATAAGAGAGCTTCCAGGATTTACAGCCAGGTCCTCCTGACTCCAAAGAGCTTAAATCTTTTTATCAGCAGCTCTGATTCTCTGATGGTTCTTTTTGTTTTCTGAAAAGGCCCCACCAGTGGAGGCATGGGGTGGCCTTCTGCAGGGTCGGGGACACTGAGTGTGGCCCTGCCTGCATGCGACCTTTTGAAGGAAGTTGCAATTATCTTCATTACCTCCACCATAGTTTGGCCTCAGGTCAAACAACAGGGATGGAACCCACCCATCAACAGAAAATTGAATTAAAGTTTTACTGATCCTGGCCCCACCTATCAGAATAAAACCCAGTGTCCCCCTCAGTCAGTCTTTCCCATCAGGAAACTTCCATAAGCCTCTTATCCTTATCCATCAGAGGACAGACAGACTGAAAACCACAATCACAGAAAACTAACCAAACTGATCACATGGACCACAACCTTGTCTAACTCAATTAAACCATGAGCCAGGCCATGTAGGGCTACCCAAGATGGACAGGTCATGGTGGAGAGTTCTGACAAAATGTGGTCCACTGGAGAAGGGAATGGCAAACCACTTCACTATTCTTGCCTTGAGAGCCCCATGAACAGCATGAAAAGGCAAAAGACAGAACACTGAAAGATGAACTCCCCAGGCTGGTAAGTGCCCAATAAGCTACTGGAGAACAGTAGAGAAATAACTCCAAAAAGAATGAAGAGACGGAGCCAAAGCAAAAACAACACCAAGCTGCGGATGTGACTGGTGATGGAAGTAAAGTCTGATGCTGTAAAGAGCAATATTGCATAGGAACCTGGAATATTAGTCCATGAATCAAGGCAAATTGGAAGTGGTCAAACAGGAGATGACAAAAGTGAACACTGACATTTTAGGAATCAGTGAACTAAAATGGACTGGAATAGATGAATTTAATTCAGATGACCATTATATCTACTACTGTGGGCAAGAATCCCTTAGAAGAAATGGAGTAGCCCTCATAATCAACAAAAGAGTCTGAAATGCAGTACTTGGATGCAATCTCAAAAATGACAGAATGATCTCTGTTCATTTCCAAGGCAAACCATTCAGTATCACAGTGATCCAAGCCTACGCATCTACCAGTAATGCTGAAGAAGCTGAAATTGAACGGTTCTATGAAGACCTACAAGACCTTTTAGAACTAACACCCAAAAAATATGTCCTTTTCATTATAGGGGACTTGAATGCAAAAGTAGGAAGTCAAGAAACACCTGGAGTAACAGGCAAATTTGGCTTGGAGAACAGAATGAAGCAGGGCAAAGGCTAATAGAGTTTTGCCAAGAGAATGCACTGGTCATAGCAAACACCCTCTCCCAACAACACAAGAGAAGACTCTACACATGGACATCACCAGATGGTCAATACTGAAATCAGATTGATTATATTCTTTGCAGCCAAAGATGGAGAAGCTCTATACAGTCAGCAAAAACAATACTGAGAGATGACTGTGGCTCAGATCATGAACTCTTTATTGCAAAATTCAGACTTAAATTGAAGAAAGTAGGGAAAGCCACTAGGTCATTCAGGTATGACCTAAATCAAATCCCTTATGATTATACAGTGGGAGTGACAAATAGATTCAAGGGATTAGATCTGATAGAGTGCCTGAAGAACTATGGACGGAGGTTCGTGATATTGTACCAGAGGCAGGGATCAAGACCATCCCCAAGAAAAAAAAATGCAAAAAAGCAAAATGGTTGCCTGAGGAGGCCTTACAAATAGTTGTGAAAAGAAGAGAAGTGAAAAGCAAAGGAGAAAGGGAAAAATATTCCCATTTGAATTCAGAGTTCCAAAGAATAGAAAGGAAAGATAACAAAGCCTTCCTCAGTGATCAATGAAAAGAAACAGAGGAAAACAATAGAATGGGCAAGACTTTGAGATCTCTTCAAGAAAATTAGAGATACCAAGGGAACATTTCATGCAAAGATGGGCACACATAAAGGACAGAAACTTAGGTATGGACCTAACACAAGCAGAAGATATTAAGAAGAGGTGGCAAGAATAAACAGAAAAACTATACAAAAAAGATATTCATGACCCAGATAACCACGATGGTGTGATCACTCACCTAGAGCCAGTTATCCTTGAATGCAGAGTCAAGTGGGCCTTAGGAAGCATCACTATGAACAAAGCTAGTGGAGGTGATGGAATTCCAGTTGAGCTATTTCAAATCCTAAGAGATGATGCTGTGAAAGTGCTGCACTCAGTACGCCAGCAAATTTGGAAAACTCAGCAGTGGCCACGGGACCGGAAAAGGTCAGTTTTCATTCCAATCCCAAAGAAAGGCAATGCCAAAGAATGCTCAAACTACCTCACAATTGCACACATCTCACATGCTAGCAAAGTAATGCTCAAAATTCTCCAAGCCCGGCTTCAGCACTATGTGAACAGTGAAATTCCAAATGTTCAAGCTGGTTTTAGAAAAGGCAGAAGAACCAGGGATCAAATTGCCAACATACATTGGATCATCGAAAAAGCAAGAGAGTTTCAGAAAAACATCTACTTCTAATTTATTGACTACAACAAAGCCTTTGACTGTGTGGATCACAGCAAACTATGGAAAATTCTTCAAGAGATGGGAATACCAGACCACCTGACCTGCCTCCTGAGAAATCTGTATGCAGGTCAAGAAGCAACAGTTAGAATTGGACATGGAACAACAGACTGGTTCCAAATAGGGAAAGGAGTATGTCGAGGCTGTATGTTGTCACCCTGCTTATTTAACTTAAATGCAGAGCACATCATGTGAAATGCTGGGTTGGATGAAGCACAAGCTGGAATCAAATTGCCAGGAGAAATATCAATAACCTCAGATATGCAGATGACACCACCCTTATGGCAGAAAATGAAGAGGAACTAAGGAGCCTCTTGATGAAAGTGAAAGAGGAGAGTGAAAAAGTTGGCTTAAAACTCAACATTCAAAATACAGAGATCATGGCATCTGGTCCCATCAGTTCATAGGAAATAGATGGCAAATAGTGAGAGACTTTATTTTCTTGGGCTCCAAAATCACAGCAGATGGTGACTGCAGCCATGAAATTAGAAGACACTTGCTCCTTGAAAGAAAAGCTATGATCAACCTAAACAGCATATTAAAAAGCAGAGACATTACTTTGCCAACAAAGGTCCATCTAGTCAAAACTATGGTTTTTCCAGTAGTCAAGTATGGATGTGAGGTTTGAACTATAAAAAAAAACTGAGTGCTGAAGAATTGATGCTTTTGAACTGTGGTGTTGAGGAAGACTCTTGAGAGTCCCTTGGACTGCAAGGAGATCCAACCAGTCCATCCTAAAGGAAATCAGTCCTGAATATTCATTGGAAGGACTGATGCTAAAGCTGAAACTCCAATACTTTGGCCACCTGATGCGAATAACTGACTCTTTGGAGAAGACCCTGATGCTGGGAAAGATTGAAGGTGGGAGGAGAAGGGGACGACAGAGGATGAGATGGTTGGATGGCATCACTAACTCAATGGACATGAGTTTGAGCAAGTTTTGGGAGTTGGTGATGGACAGGGAAGCCTGGCATGCTGCCGTCCATGGGTTCGCAAAGAGTCAGACACGACTGAGTGACTGAACTGATGTTGCCTAATGGAATCAGCTCTAAGTTTG